TCTCTATGTCTCTCTCTGTCTGTCTGGCGAGCGCATGTACCCTATAGTGAAAAACCTCTCAAAAAAAAAAAATGTAAATCAAGTTGTATTCAGCTTGATTAACCCAGCAAAGTGTTTCTAGAAGCTGCATAGTTTTCTCTTTCATCTGAAGGCTTCAGATTAGCAGATTCCAAAGGCATTCCCTTCAGGGTAAAAATTATTTCTATAGACAGCCTGCTAGACTGGAAGCCATTTGCTGCTTTGGCACAGAAAATGCCCTCAAAATTTACTTAAATGCTCTCACAGTTCTTGCTGTCTTTAGGCTTTAAGCTTTTCTGAAAAGACCATTTTTTCCAAGCACAGAAGACTGTCACTTCTGTCGATTTTCTCAAGCAGACAAGAAAGCCATTTCAAACTTTACAACCCTTGTCTAAGAGTAAGAACATTTTCTCTTACAGTTATTTTAAAAACTGTGTTGTAGACAGCACTGGAGAGTTCACAGCCACCAAGTACCACACTGCTTTCCAGAGAAAGAGGAACCCCTGGATCAAAGATTTAGTAACAAGACATTGAGACTGTAACTTTGAGAGTGAGGAATACCAAGATTACAGATCCCGTGACACATTCCAAAGCATTTCAACACCAGATGAAAGGCCTGTTTATTCTTAACTATTCACGGAAATGGAAGAAAGCAAAGACAACAAACAAGCCGGGTAATTCCAAGTGAAAAGAAGTATGTGCTAAGAAGACATTATCAAGGACTATGTAGATATCATCAATAGCCTCCTCAATATTTAATTTGACATTAAGCCTCCTTTTGTATCACAATAATCCATACTGAAATTTGTCACATCTTGGGAATTTTCACATGTTCTTTTTAAATTTTTTTTAAGGTTTTTGCCACAGGGAGGGTGCACTCATGAGAGAAAGACATTAAGAGGGAAAGTGAGAAATCACCCCCTAGGAGACAGCCATGCACAATCCCTTCTCTGCCCCTCTCCTCCTGGGATTTTGGACGGACACACACACACACACACACACACACACCGGTCATAAACTTCAAACCACCAGGTCTGGGGCTCGAATCGCGGTCAGTCATGTGGGAGTCCAGCTCCTTAACCACTTTGACATCTGCTGGCCAAAATCTCTATCATTTCAACTTCTGATGACTCATTTTCTTTTTAAAAATCAGCTTTGTTGTTTTTTAAAATAAAGCTTTCTGGTTTCACCAGACCTGTCAGTGAGTCTATCTTTCCTAACTCATCACACTGTCTGACCATCCCATTAAAGATAATGACTTTTAGTGTTCTCTTTCATTATTTGCTCTTTAAGGGACTGTGTATTTTAATAGAAACACCCTCATTAAGCAATTATCATCACTATACTGACCACCTTCTGGAGAAACAGTTCCCCCACAGTATCTACTGTTTTTAAATATCACTTCCCTGTATTAATTAGCAGATCTAACCCCTTCTGCTTTCTCTGAGGCTTTTTGTCACTTAGCCTATACCCAATTAACATACTTATTAAGAGCATGGGATCTGAAACACCATTACTCAAATCTGAACCTGACTTCTACCGCTTAAAAGTTGTGAGATTTGGCCAGGTGGTGGTGTGGTGGTTAAGGTGCTAGATCCCACAGAGCTGGCTGCGGTGGTTTGAGTTCTAGACTAGTGGCTTGAAAAACATGCTGGGCATGTGTGCTTGTGTGCCCAAAATCCTGAGAGGAGAATGGAGAAGGGACTGCAGAGTGGCCTCCCCGCAGGAGGTGGTTTCTCAGTTTCCCTCCCTCCTTTCCTTTCTCTTTCTCTTTCTTTCTCATGTATGCATGGATGAAAGCCTATGTGCTCTACAGCAAATTTTAAAACGAACTTGTGTGATTTGGGCAAAGTTATACAAGTTTTCTCATACATGAACTGTGACTAACAACAGCACCTAATAAATGGCCATTATGAGCGTTAAATGAGATAGTACAAATAACCTTTGTAGAATGCATAGCATCTAAACAAGACTTGTTACTATCACTACAACTAAGTATATTTCACCACCATTTAAATACTCAAGTCTCTTCTGGGATGGCTTTTCCCAATTCAGTTTCTCCTTCTGACTCTCAACCTACAAACCTCTTCATAATTTCTCCTGCATCTCTTAACTCTCCACAGTTATGCTTCTCCTCACCCCAAACTGCTCCAGCCAAAATTATCTCTTTACTAAATACAGTAAGTATGTCTATTAATTTATATACAGTATATTAAAACATTTCATATTGGGGCCAGCAGGTGGCATGGTGGTTAAAGGCTCTGAACTCCCATATGGCTGACCACAGTTTGAGTCCTGGACCTGGCAGCTTGCTTTCTCATTTTCCCTCTCTCTCTCACTCTGTCCCAGTCTGAGATCAAATTAAAATAAATAAAGTTAAATAAAATAATTCTTTAAAAAAATTTTATATTTACAAATGAGATACAGCATTGACTTAAACATCCACAATTATTCTAAAACTCTAACAAAAAACAAACTGACATACAGGTTTAATCTTAAACATAAAAATTTGAGTCCAAATTCGGTCATTTCTTTAGACCATTACCATCAGAAAATAGAAAAAAAATAACATAAAAGAATCACAACTCTGTCAGAGGCAAAATATGTGTAATCTTCCAAAAGTAAAGTTTTAAATTAATGAGAATTAATTCCATAGATATTTTCTATTGATTGCTAGAACATGACAAAATGAATATTGTAAATCACTGTTTTGAACCATAAGTATGAGACAGATGTCACAACCTTCATCTGGAAATCTGGTAATTAAACAAGAAGTTACCAAGTAAAAATATTAATAAATGCTTGCATAATTTTTTTGCCTTTACATTTTTAAGATTTTAAATTAAGTGTCACATAAAAAAGAATACAGTAATTAAAACTATTCATTCTATAAACAAGTTAAAATAAAGACTTAGGGACTAAAATTTTCTTTAAGAATACATAAACTTTATGAGAAGAAAAATTTAACCATAAATTTTGACTTTTTTGTTTTCAGCTCTGATCTCTTTAGAATCCAAGTGCTCAACAAAAAGCAAGAGCAGAGAGTCACAGAATAGTCAAAATATTCTACCACACTGGTAGCATCTTCAGGGACAAAAGGACATACCAAGTTCTGTGGGTTCACCTAGTCAAGGAAACCTTTTCTAAACTAACTGTACATCCCTCCCCAACCCCAACAGTCCCTTTCCAAAGGCTACTACTGAAGGACATCAACTGTAGCTACTGACATTATGCTGGTCAGCTTGCTGCGTAGGGAATGGCCAGGCTGGGAAGAGAAGTCATCTCAGCCACCTGTCCCCTGAACCAGGGCACTCGGCAGAGCAAAGTGATGAGGGCAAGGGAACAGTCAGAAAGTTACCACGAATGCTGTAATCCCTGATGCTAGGTCCGGGGTTGCATCTTTCCAGGAAAGACAGTCTTTCCCATTAGGTTAAAAGCATAATAGGTTAGCCATGGCCTTGGACCCACCTACGAAGGAGAAAGAGGCCAGACACTGATGGTAGAACCCACACTAATCAAAATAAAAGCTAAATACTATATATGCCTTGTTTCCTTTTTATTTTTCTATCATAAGTAGCAATGTTACTCGGTATGCACATGAGAAAAGCTGTACATTCAAGTAAACTGACAATAACAGGCAGAAAAAAGATGTATACTCAGGCTTATTTTCTGTGAAAAAGGTAGAGATGTGCTTGACACCTATTAGACCTGAGGTTAAGAAATGTTCTTGGTACTACTAGCAGATGGCGTAATGGTTACATCACTGAACTCCCACATGGCCAACCATGGTTTGAGTCCCAAACCTACAACTTGAAACTCACACCAGGTACACATGCTGCATGCCCAAAATTCCAACAGAAAAAAGATTGTGGTATAGCCACCCCCCTGAGGGGTGATTTCTTGCTTTCTGTCTCTATATTTCTCTGTCTCTCCAGTGAGCACACATGCCCTATAGGAAAAATCTCTCTTAGAAAAAAATAAGAGGGTCCAGCAGATGGCATAATAGTGACATCGCTAGACTCCTACGTAGTTGATTACAATTCGACCACCAATGGCTTAAACTTCACACTAGGTGCATATGCATGTGTAACCAAGATCCTGACTGAGGCATGGTGATCCCCTCTGGGGGGTGATTTCTCGCTTTCTCTCTCTCTCTCTGCCTCTTCAGAGAGCACAACGCTCTACAGTAAAAATATCTCTTAAAAAAGGAAAGAAGGAAGGAAGGAAGGAGGGAGGGAAGGAAGGAAGGAAGGAAGAAAGGAAGGAAGGAAGGAATGCTCTTTAGGATTTATAACTAACTGCCTTCCAATATTTTTAGGTAAAAAGATCGGTTGAGAACACCACAGATTGGTTTTCCAATCAAATCACAAAAGAAAAAGAGAAACTTCAACTCAGACTTGAGAGATAAGAAAGTAACAGACAGGCCAGCAGTTGGCAGAGTGGTTAAGGCACTAGACTCCCACATGGCTGACTGCGGTTTGAGTCCCAGATCCAGTGGCCTGAACTCATGCTCGGTGTACTTGCCCAAAATCCTGAGAGGAAAATGGAGGAGGAGGAGGAGGAGAAGGAGAAGGAGTTGGAGAAGGAATTGAGGCATAACATCCTCCCTGGAGGTTGATTGCTCGCTCACTCTCTGTCCCTCTGGAGAGCGTACACACCCTATGGAAAAATCTCTCACATAAACAAACCAGCCAACCACCATCAGGACAAAATTAACAAAACAAGGATGAGATCCTCACTTCAGAACCAAAACTTTAAAAGCTGTGGGTTTTCCTGTTACTTGCCTTTTCACGCATTAAGGGTAAAATATGTCATAGCCATATTTTATTTTGAAATAAATTATGTCCCCTATTTAGAACTGGGTAGAAAATAAACATCACACCATACTCCACTTTCCTTGAATGAGTAATAATTGTTCCCTGCAGAAATTGTTACTGATGCATAAGCAGTACTTCAGATGCTAAATTATAGCACCCACTCACCTGAAGCCGAGTTCATCATACTCTGCTGCACAGGAGGGCTGGTGGGGGCTGTCACGTTCATCTGAGAGAGCATGGCCTTCCTGGGATCCTGCCATGTCGTTGTCTGATCGATGTGGCTGTGACAAAAGAACCACTGTATTAGATAACAAATAGCAGGTCCTAAACACCTAAATCTCTTTATCACATTAGGGTAGGTGTGTGGGATCACATCAAAGGATGCTAACAAGCTCTGTAGACCCATGGAGTCATGTCACCTCACTACTTCCACCCTGCCTCTACCTGATAAAGACATTTTTCTGCTTATTAAATCATCCAACTTTCACCTCTTCTCAGAAATTTTACCTCTTAGATATTTTTAAGTGCAAGATTTCAGAAAATTATGACTACAAGTAATAAAAAAAAAAAAAAAAAAAAAAAAAAAAACCTTCACCTAATAGACAAATACCCACTATGATAAAATGCAGTTTGTTGAGTACCTGTCTGAAATAGTAATCATATAATTGAAAGCCAGGATTTGCAAGAGAACCACCCATTTTTCCTCCTAGACCTAACAACGCCAAATAACATATATTTTGTAGGCATTAAAAAAGCTCCTTTGGAACCTGCAGTTGACGTAATGGCTATGTCGCTAGACTCCCATGTAGTTGACTATAGTCTGAGTCCTGTACCCCGCAGCTTAAACTCACACCGGGCATATGTGCGTAAGTGCCCAAGATCCCAAAAGGAGAATGGAGAAGAAGGGATTGCTGCGTGGCCATCTCCCCCCTGGGGGCTGGGGGTTGCAGGGGATGATTTCTCACTTTCTATCTCTCTCTCTGTCTTTCTAGAGAGCGCACGCACCCTATAGCAAAAACCTCTCCCTCCAAAAAAAACTTTTAACAAAGCAGTAAAATACACACACATACATGAAAACTAAGTTGTCTTATTATGATATATACTCCAAAACCAAAAAAGAATTAACACCTTCACCTAGGGGACCAGCAGGTGGCGTGGTGGTTAAAACACTGGACACTCCCACATGGTTGACCATGGTTTGAATTCCAGACCTGGTGGCTTGCTTTTAAATTAATGAATAAATAAAATTAAATAATTTTTAAATAGTTATCTATATGGACCAGTAGGTGGCTGCAGGTTCAGGTGCTGGATCCCACATGGCCAGTTGCTTGATTCGAATCTTGGACATGGTGGCTTGAAAATCATGGGACCAGCAGCTAGCGTAATGGCTATGTCGCTTGACTCCCATGTAGTCAACTGCAGTTTGAGTCTTGGACCCGGTGGCTTAAAACTCATGCCGGGCACATGTGGATGCATGCCCAAGATCCCGAGAGGAGAATGAAGGAGAAGGGATTGCGGCAATCCCCCCCCACCCCCGTGGGTGATTTCTCACTTTCTATCTCTCTGTCTGTCTCTGTCTTTCTGGTGAGCACATGCGCCCTATAGCAAAAACCTCTCAAAAAAAAAAAAAAAAAAAAAACTTGTCTGTCGTGTGTGTGTGTGTGTGTGTGTGTGTGTCCAAAATCCTCAGAGAAGAATTAAGAGAGGGGATTACAGCATGACCATCCCCTATGGGGGTGATTTCTCACTTTCCCTTTCTCCCTCTCTGTTAAGGACATGTGCCCTATAGCAAACAAACGAAACAAATTTCTTCTGTAAAAGTTTTTCTCCTGTGACTGCTGAATAACATGTTTTTATACAAAATATTATTTGTAACAGCAAGAATTCTACTATCCAATAATAGGGGAGTGGTTAAATAAATGTGATTTCATATGATGGACTACTATGCAGCTATTGAAAATGTTTTAGAACATTTAGTAACATGAAAACTATTTATAATGGGGTTTTTATTTATTTAATTGCCAGAGGCAACATGAGCTCATCAGGCAGACTGAGGCAGGGGCAGGGGAAGAAAGTATCCCCCCCTCCCCCGCCTTGGTGTGTGGTCATGCTGCAATTCTCCATCTCTTCCATCCTGTCAGGATTTTGGACATGCATGAATATGCACATAGTGTGTTTTTCAAGCTGTCAGGGCTAGGATTCAAATATAAGTCAGCCATAGGAATATAGCTTTTTTTTTTTAAGAGAGATTTTTGCTATAGGGTGTGTGCGCTCACCAGAAAGAGAGAAAGCAAGAAATCACCCCCTAGGGACAATGGCCACACTGCAATTCTTTCTCTTCCACTGTCCTCTCAGGATCTTGGTCATGCATGCACACATGCCGGGAGTGTGGCCTAAACCCCTGAGTCTGGGATTCGAACCATGGTTGACTACATGGGACTACACAGTTGACATCAGCAACGTAACTACTATGCCACCTATTGTTCCCTGGGATATAGTTCTCTTAACCACTAGGCTATGGGCCCAGTCCCAAAATTTCTAAAAGCAGGTTATAAAACGGTATGTATAAGATAAGGCTAATTGTTTAAAATATATGCACACATGCAGGGTGCAGGTTTACAAAAAGAATAAAGATCAAAATGTTCAAAGTGTTCATTTCTGGATAGTAAAATTAAGGAAGAACTCAGCTTTGCAATATTTCCCTACTGCAAAACAATCAAACTTACATTTCAGAAATGGAAAAAGGAGGGAAATAAAGGTGACGTTTTTAGAGAGAAATCACCAAATAACTTTTCTAGCTATTTAAATTTCAAATCTGAGTTTTTTCTTCTTGAGTCATCTCATAATAACTAACATAAATGTTAAAGAAATGACATGATGGGGAACCAGCAGTTAGCGTAATGGCTATGTCGCTGGACTCCCACGTAGTCGACCGCGGTTCGCGTCCCGGACCCGGTGGCTTAAAACTCACGCCAGGCGCGTGTGCGTACGTGCCCAAGATCCCGAGAGGAGAATGGAGGAGAAGGGATTGCGGCGTGACTATCCCCCCTGGGGGGTGATTTCTCGCTTTCTGTCTCTATGTCTCTCTCTGTCTGTCTGGCGAGCGCACGCGCCCTATAGCGAAAAAACCTCTCCAAAAAAAAAAAAAGAAATGACATGATCACCGATTCTGCAGACCAGCAGATGGCATAAAGATTATGTTGCTGGGAACCAGCAGTTAGCGTAATGGCTATGTTGCTGGACTCCCACATAGTCGACCGTGGTTCGCATCCTGGACCTGGTGGCTTACAACTCACCCCGGGCGCGTGTGCGTGCGTGCCCAAGATCCCGAGAGGAGAATGGAGGAGAAGGGATTGCGGCGTGACTATCCCCCCTGGGGGGTGATTTCTCGCTTTCTGTCTCTATATCTCTCTCTGTCTGTCTGGCGAGCGCACGCGCCCTATAGCGAAAAACCTCTCTCTCAAAAAAAAAAATTATGTTGCTGAACTCCCACATGGCTGATGCGATTTGAGTCCCGGACCAGGCAGCTTGAAATCCACTCCAGGTGCATGTGCGTGTGTGCCCAAAATCCTTAGAAGAGAATGGAGAAGGGATTGTGGTGTGGCCATCTCCCCTGGGGAGCAGGTGGGTGATTCCTCACTTTCTGTCTCTGTCTTCTCAGTCAGTGCTTGTACACTATAGCAAAAATCTCTTTAAAAAAAAAAAAAAAAAAAAGGATTGTAGATTCTGGCTAGAATGGGCTATCTGTTCTGGAGATGGGGTAAGAGTTTTTGTTTTGTTTTGAATTTGCTAGTGGGTGTATGTATTCAATGGAGAGATACAGAGAAAAAGAAAGTGAGAAAGCATCCTCCACAGGGGATAGCCATGCCACAATCCCTTCTCCACTTCTCCTTTCAGGATTTTGGTATGCACTCACACACACACACACATACACATACCCTGCATGTTTTCCAAACCACTGGGTCTAGGACTTGCACATAAAGTTGAGTGTATGGGATCCAGCCATTTAATTACCATGCCACCAGCTGGCCCAAGGGGAAGAGTTCTTTTAGCTCCTAGGCTAGCTCCTAGGCAAGCCGAGTGGCAAAACAGTAACATGCCACTCAAGAGAAGCTGGACACCATATGGTAACCTTGGTTTGAACCCCTGGCCTGGTCAGCTGATGACATGCCAGGCACGCTTGTGGGTACTCAAGATTCAACAGGCTAGGAAACTGGAGGAAGGAGATGGCTGCGTGAATAGATCCTGTGCAAAGTGCTCTTTGTTCTCTCTCTCTCTCTTGTACATGTGTGCATACTCTATCATGAACACAGAAAAACTTTAAAATGTGAACACAAACAGTAGGTAAAGATGTGTGGAGGGATTACTGATCAGGCACAGTCATCTTTCTGAGGGTAGGAAGGAACAAGGGAACAGGATAGACACTGCTTCCACTGAAGAAAGGAAGGATGGGCAGAAGCAAATAACCTCACTTGCTGGCAAAAGTTAACCAGCTGCTGGTACAAAGACCTATTCGCTTATCCAGAGGAATAACATTACAATGATTAATGAGGCTGGGATTATTGGTACCTCCATTACACAAATTTCAAAATTGAGGAATTCTTCCAAGCTCACACATTCAGTATGGAATTACTGTTAGCACACAGGAATTCTGAAAACTGCTTTCTGCACCAGGCAGGCAGACAGACAGACAGACAGACACACACACACGCACACACACACAAAAACACTCAAAAATACAACATCTTTCTAATATATATTAGATAACAGAGATATTACATAGATACTAAGGAGAATAAAAAGGTATAAGTATTGAAGGTTCAATTTTTTAAAATGCCAGAATATTAAAAATGCGATTTCCATTACCACTAGAATATAAGCATCTTTAAATAGCTTGTTTTAAAGAACTATTTTATTTTAACTTTATTTTTATTATTTTCTGACTTGATCAGAGAGAAAGAGGGAAAGTGAAAAAGTAAGCCACCAGGTCTAGGACTTGAAGCATGGTTGCCCACGTGAGTCCAGCACCTTTGACCACCACGCCACCTGCTGGAGCCTAGTACTTTTTTAAAAAAGAATTATTTAATTTTATTTATTATTATCTTTAAAAATTTTGCTAAAGGGACCAGTAGTTGGCATAATGGCTATGTCATTGGACTCCCATGTAGTCAACCACGATTCGAGTCCTGGACCTGATGGCTTAAACTCATGCTGGGCACGTGTGCGTGCCCCAAGATCCCGAGAGGAGAATGGAAGAAAAGGGATTGCAGCATGGCTATCC